AAAGACTTACAACCTTTTGGGAGACGCACACACTGAAAAAGTTTGTTAAATAATTCACATAACACCCCCGTCAGACTCTCTCCTCCTCAGTCACAGTTTCTCCTACCTCCGTTATGTGACGACACACTTAATTTCAGTCAGTTCACTCAATGTAACATATAGCTAAGGGAATACACTGTGTCACATGAGTCAGGCTGAAGATGCGAGTCCTTTCAGCAAGAGTAGGAAAGTCATGCATCCCATTATGAGGTTAGTCTCCCTAGGCAGACGGGTTGCTTCCGACAATGTTAACAATATTCCAGCATACACGTCTGTACAAAGATCAGCGTCAGTTGGTCTCAGCCAGAGTTAGAGGAAATGGACGTGCAGGAAATTGGGTTTTCTTAAGTCACTGACTTATCCGCTTGTTGCCCTAGCGTAAACATCCCCACTGGACATCATTTCTTTTTTATTGTATTTTTTTTTAGCCCCCTTTTCTCCCCAAATTTCGATTTTGTCTCAACGCTTCTGTCATGTTTCTGAGGGGATTATTTTTTATGAGCACAATTCCCGCCCTAATTTTAAGCCCTGTCTACCTAAACTCGTGATTTTTTTGGTAACCTGCCTAAATCACTATCGCCCTGTAGCACTCACATCTGTAATTATAAAGTGTTTTGAAAGGCTGGTCATGACACACATCAACACTATCATCCCAAACACCCAGGACCCACTCCAATTCGCATACCACACCCAACAGATGACGCAATCTCATGCACGACTCCAACACCATCATCAAGTTCGCTAACGACACGACGGTGGTAGGCTTGATCACCGACGCCGATGAGTCAGCCAATGGGGAGGAGGTCAAAGACTTAGCAGTGTTGTGCCAGGACCACAGCCTCTGTCAATATCAGCAAGAGAAAGGAGTTGTTTGTGGACTATAGAAGAAAGAGGGGAGAGCACGCCCCCATCCTACGATCCACATCACTAAGAACTTAACATGGTCCACCCACACCCGCACAGTCTTGAAGAGGGCACGACAGCGCCTCTTCCCGCTCAGAAGGCTGAAAAGATTTGACATGGGCCCTTGGTTCTACAGCTGCAACATCGAGAGCATCTAGACTGGCTGTATCACCGCTTGGTATGGCAAATGCACCGCCCTCGACCGCAAAGCGCTACAGAGGGTGGTGCGGAAGCCCAGTACATAACTGGGGCCGAGCTCCCTGCCATCCAGGACCTCTATATTAAGCGGTGTCAGAGGAAGGCCAGAAAAATTACCAAAGACTCCAGCCACCCAAGCTATAGACTGTTCACTCTGCTACCGTACAACAAACAGTACCGGAGCATCAGCGAGACAGCTTCTACCTCCAAGCCATTAGATTGCTAAATAGCCATAAGAATGCAAAATAGTTCACTAAATGGTTATCCAGACTATCTTGCACTGACTCTATGCACACTCACTCACACACAATACACTCTCACACAAAACCCACCAGTGGTGATTTTAGCATGTAAATCTTGGTGGGACAAACAAAAAAAGAGTGGAATGCATGCCAGCAAAGCCACAACACAACACTAAACAATACATTAATTGCACAATAAGGGTGAGAAACGGTGCCCACAAACTGTTAGGGCCTACATAAAGCTGTCCCAACAGCAGAGTCCCAACACCTTACCACAGCTACACCTGGCTATCAGCGGAGCCTTGTATGGCAGCGAAACAGTTAATTCAGCCTAATTTACTGCCTTAAAAAAAACATAGCTGATATGGCTGACTTGCTTCAACAAATGTGGTTTCTACTGACAATTGAGATGTACATACTATGGCATAAGGGGACGACAAGCAGATAAGAGGCAATCCGTAATGTCGATGAAGACATTAATGAGCAAGTTAGGACGGACGTAGTCAATATAACTATTTGTTCAGCACTTTGTTCAGCGGTCCTTCGTTGTGGGCAAATGTTGTCATCAAAGAAAGAGAAAGAGGCCAGATTTACAATTCCGAATTGGATGACCTTTCAAAACGTATTTTCCCAGTCGGAGCTCGTTTTTTCCCGACTTCCCAGTTGCAATGTTTCCTTCCAAACCACTCATTGTTGAATTTACGATTTCCAACTTGTTGTGTAATGTTTATGTCCAATGGCCGATGAGCACCGATAAGTTTTATCTATAATTTCTCTTACTTTTATCTTCATATGACAAGGATTAAAAAGGATTGTCGACTTGATTCATGATGATGACTGCTAGCTAAGATTTTGAAAGTAAGATGTTGACATGATCAGTCCAATCAAAGCTACTGTACATATAACTTGATTTTTTTTGTTGTTGCTAAAAATGTGCGGCTCAAAACAGGTGGGGACCTGCCCTGAATGACGGGTCGCCACATTCATATACACTTCATAAGCACACAAACGCATACCGACACAACACATACACTTACCCTGCCTTCATGTAAATATCTACCTCAAATATCTCGCACCCCTTCACATTGATCTGGTACTGGTACTCCCTGTATTTAGCTCCATTCTTTTGTATTTTATTATTCTTGTTGTTTTACAACAAAAATAATAAAATACAAAAGAATGGAGCTAAATACAGGGAGTACCAGTACCAGATCTTTTTCTTATATATTTTTTACTCTGCATCATTAGGAAGGGCTTGTAAGCAATCATTTCATGGTAAAATCTACACCCGTTGTATTTCGCGTATGTGACAAATACAATTTTAATTGCATCACCTAATCAGCTATTTAAAGATGCGCTATGCAGAAATCGCTCCGCCATTTCCTGGTTGCTAAAATCCTAATAGTTTGCCTAATTTCAGTTTATATGGCAAAACAAGCAACTATAGTGTAGAGAATTATTGTAACATCTAAACTGCTGTGAAATATATTTTCCATAACCAAAAATATTGTATTTTCAGCTGTTCGAAGCTGGTACAAAACCGAAAGTAAAAATGCATAAACAAAACGTAAGAACGGAAAGCATAGAAATAGTGCACATAGAACAGATATACCGCTTCTTAGACTTGCTTTCAATGAAAATGACAGATCTATAACACACATTTCTGTGTGAATTTGGTCGGGTCTCCCAAAAAGTTACATATTGCAGCTTTAATCCTATGAAACTACAGCTATAGCCTACTTCTTTTTTTCTTTTTTCTTTTACTTCACAAATAAGTTGTTACTTGCCACGCTTTTGGGCGTTTGCAGAACATCATTATCATCACGTTCCCTAACGGAAATATGCAAATATTTCATTTAACACGCCAATAGCATCTCGTTAGCTCCTGAGTGGCGCAGTGGTCTAAGGCACTGCATCGCAGTGCTAACTGTGCCACTAGAGATCCTGGTTCGAATCCAGGCTCTGTCGCAGCCGGCCGCGACCGGGAGACTCATGGGCGGCACACAATTGGCCCAGCGTCGTCCAGGGTAGGGGAGGGAATGGCCGGCAGGGATGTAGCTCAGTTGATAGAGCATGGCGTTTGCAACGCCAGGGTTGTGGGTTCGATTCCCACGGGGGGCCAGTATAAAAAAAAAAAAAAAAAAAATATGTATTCACTAACTGTAAGTCGCTCTGGATAAGAGCGTCTGCTAAATGACTAAAATGTAAATGTTAGCTCGTGCTTGGCTCTGCGGTTGCCCTCCTTGTTCTGCCCACTATGCTTCATTTGCTCACATTGAAAAAGACACGATTAACTATATTGGGTTAGTTATAAATATGTTTGCAATTATGTTGCCCTCTGCTGGTTGCCTCTGAACCTCAGTCAAAACAAAAGTACTAGTGATATTATGGCATTGATCATTCATTGCCATAATTTTGTACCCACAGCAGATTGGTCAAAAGTGAAACAGAGTAATCAGCGTGAATGCATGGGAAACGGCTTTAAAACCTCTTAAGGATCGGACCCTTTTTTTTATTTTTATTTTATTTTTTTGCCTAAAATGACACACCCTAATCTAACTGCCTGTAGCTCAGGACCTGAAGCAAAGATATGCATATTCTTGATACCATTTGAAAGGAAACACTTTGACGTTTGTGGAAATGTGAAATTAATGTAGGAGAGTATAACACATTAGATATGGTAAAAGATAATAAAAACAAAAAAACATGTGTTTTTGTTTTTTTTGTTCCATCATCTTTGAAATGCAAGAGAAAGGCCACAATATAATGTTGCAGTTTAGGCGCAATTTAGATTTTGATCACTAGATGAAGCATTGCAATACTATACTATTTTGTTCAAGTCTGCCCAAATGTGCCGAATTGGTCAATTGATACATTTTCTATTGGTCAATTAATACATAACTATAGAGAACATACAAAAGGATATGGTAATACAAAATGTAAATTTACACACTCCCAGGAATGTCATACATGATGGATCATTAGCTTATACACTAACTTTCACACATCTAGATGGCCAGGCAGGGTTGGTGTGGAGCCAGAGACAGCAGGGGTTCAAACTGTAGAACCCAGTTCCTACATTTGAATAAAAAAATTGATTTTATCAAACAAAACTATGCTACATTTGATCTCTGGGACAAATCAGAGCAAGATTACTGAATGTAAGTACATTATTTACCTTCAGAGGTGAATGTATCAAACCAGTTGCCATGATACGTTTTTTTGTTGTTGTACACTCTCCTCAAACAATAGCATGGCCTTTTTTCACTGTAATAGCTACTGTAAATTGGACAGTGCAGTTAGATTAAGAAGAATTTAAGCTTTCTGCCCATATAAGACATGTATATGTTCTGGAAAGTTTGCTGTTACTTACAACAGTCATGCTAATCACATCAGCGCACGTTAGCTCAACCACCCGTATACCGGACACCGATCCAGTAGAGTTTAACCCAAATTGAGCAGAAAGACTATACTTTTGACACCATTGATGGAAGAAAAACACTACAATGCCCCCTGCTGTTCATTTTTAGATTGTGTTGTCTGAATTGCGTCTGGCATTTAATTCAATTTCTTTCCACTGAGGGATGGATGGAAAGCGGGATGTGAGTTCATACTCACTCAATAGAGGCATACATTGCATATCAGACAATCAAAAATATTTTAATACATTTGACAGGTAGCACACTGAGCAACTTCTGGATCAACCAGTCCCGCACACAGGGGTCTCTCTAGGTAGAAAACGTTCACTTCACTTAAGTTATCAAAATGTATTATCAGATCCTAACAGTACAATAAATATAAATAGCATACTTCAAAACTTAAATGAAGAGTTTGGGACACACTTCACTACAAATGCATCACTGACACATTAGGACTACTGTATAATTTGCTCAACAGACACATACAGAAATATATACAGAAGCAGTACTTCAGATAAACAAAGAATACATTATAAATATAGTTCTCATCAAAGAAGAACTGACTGCATACCTCATCTATGCAGACAGACATAAGAGCCTAATTTTGGCCAATTTGATTACATTAAAATACATTGTGAAGCTTTGATAGTATTCTATTCTATTAGAATTATGTACAAATATGAGTAATTCAGTAAGATTTTATTAGCAGGTATAATGCATTATTACTTGTTATAAGAATTAATAGGCCCTTAAAATGTTATGTTATCAACTCATATGATATGGCTTATGAAAGTGTTATCTGTAATTCTATATCAATGGCAATACAGACGGTTACTTCAGATGTCAGTGCAGTATGGTGATACTGCGGTCAGCCACGGCGAACGCAGGCAGCAGCGGGCTACTGAAGGCATGTCTGACAGAGTGCAACACGGCACTGGAGTCTGGGTCATAAAATACCAGGGTCTGACTGGGCCAGTCCAGGAGCAGCCCTAGACTCTTGGGCTTGTGGATCACGTGCAGGGGTGTGTTCTTCCCCGCATGGCAGAAGGAGAAGTCCCAGTCATATTTGGAGATCACCCAAGACTGGGCGTTGTAGCCCAGGCGTGAGTCGTTGCCCGAGCCCTTGCGCCCCATGCTGGCGTAGCATACCCCCATCTTGAAGGCCCCGCTCTCACCCATGTCCATCACCCAGCTGTGGGTGCCGGAGGAGATTGCCAGGGTGCCCAGCGCATTGGGCCAGCTGTCGAAGCGCGCCGGGTCGTAGGGCGGGGACTGGCGTGACCTCTTAGGCAGGAAGGTCAGAGTGCAAAGGTCTTCTGAGAGGGACAGTAGGGAGCTGACGGTGCGCTCGTCAAATGTCAGATGTGCTGAACCATAAGCTAAAGGGGGAGAGGGAAGAGAAGAGTGTATTGTTATTCATCATTAATTAAGCACTTATGCTTTGTTAATAACATAGTAATAGTGTCTGAACAACTGGCAATAATGCATAACTACAACTATTTGGAACAACTGTACCCTGAACAAATCAAGGTTGGCCTAACCTTTATCATGGAGATAAAGATAAAAGCATTAGTACTAGTTACCAGTTGGCCCCAGCAGTATGGCGCTGGCCCATAGGCCCCTCATGAGTTTGCTGTCACAGCAGCCTGCATTCAGGTTGAGCTGGTCAGTGTCATAAGGCTCACCCACCCCCTCTGCATCCTCAACCCTGATTGACACACACAAGAGACAGCTCATGTGAATCTGGCTAATGATTGCTTCAGTGGGTGAACTATTGAACTATGTATTCTTACTACTTGCAAAAAAGACTAAAAATTGATTAAAACCATGTTTACCTCTCAGCTATTTCTTGGCCAAAGGTCTGAAAACACAGGACACAGAGTCAACAATAATTTCTGACAATGAAATTGATCTTAATTACATCATCATCATCATAATTATCAGGGTTATTGCTAGGGTTAGGGTTGAGCCAAGGTGTGGACATGAAGCTAGGGTTAGGGTTATGGTTAGGGTTGATCATGATCATCATCATCGTTTGCACCGTCCCATTCAGTCTTGTCGACCCTCTCCCTATCCATTCTTCTTCTTTCCACCTCTGTACTCTCCAACTTCCCCCCCTCTGTCCCCTTCCCTGTGCCCATAATCTTTCCCCTACTCACCGCCAGCTGTATGTCCGGTGTGTTTGTGAGAGTGTGCACCAGGAATGTGCGTGTCTGTGTGAGCATAGCCAGGGCCTGGCCCCAGTGTGCTCTCTGGGTGAGGAGGCACTGCTCCACCCTCTCCTCCTCCCTTTGCACTGCTTCTAGCAGCAGCTGCTCCTCCTCCTCCACAGCCTCCCTCACCACACTGACCTGTGCCACAACTCGCTCCCGAGCCCTGCTCGCCTCCACCTGCATGGGCACACAGCAGAGGGGGTATGAGTCACAGCAAAAAGACATATGATGGAATCCATTACATATCTGTGTGTAGAGCTTGTGAATCCAAGGCTGTGTGTAGTGTGAGCACATAAGGGACTGAGTGTGTGTCACAGAGCCTGTGTGCTCACCTGCAGTGTCAGCTCTTTGGCAGTCAGGGTCTTGTTAATAAAGCGCTCGATGCGCTGGGCCTGCAGCTGCATTTTCTCACACACGTCAACCAGCTGGTTCTGTTCAGGATAACACACACACACACACAGTGACTGGCACGAAGAAGAGTAGTGTTGGACTTGAAAACCACAGTTGATCAGGTACATTTTCGAAGGCAGGTGCCATTATTCTGATAGGCCTATTCCTATAGTGTCATACTGCCATCACCAACATGTCATTGTGTATCATGAAATAATAATAATTTGGAAGAGCACTGATGACAATTTATGCTGCTTATATGGACAATATTTTTGTTAAGGCTTTCCGTATCTTCCCAACAGCTTGAAATTCCTGTCTCCTCACATTCCATGAGACATCAACTGGGGAAACTCCTCAGTGTGGTGTCGGAAAAGTGTGGCACACCCTACACACCCACCAGGCATGTGAACAAACACTTTCCTAACACAAACCAGCTCGGCCTTTGTACTGTAGTACCTCAGGTGACCTAAGGTAAAGTCAAGTTTGCCTGTTCCATTCCAACTCCTAACTGTAGGTAAACAGTATCCCGGCCCCAAGCCCCATTCACTGTGACAAAGGTCCATATGACGCACAAGCAGCAGCTTGTAACTGCTCAAAAATTAGTTGGTATTATTGAGCCTATAGATGGTATATTCTAATATAGTGGTATACAAGTGGTCTTCTGTAGCTCAGCTGGTAGAGCACGGCGCTTGTAACGCCAAGGTAGTGGGTTCGATCCCCGGGACCACCCATACACAAAAAAAAAAAGATGTATGCACGCATGACTGTAAGTCGCTTTGGATAAAAGCGTCTGCTAAATGGCATATTATATTATTATTAAGAACAGGAAAAGTCGGGGCACTCACCCTGACTGCTGTCACTCTGCTGGCCAGGGGTGTCACCTTGTGTCCCTGGCAGGATCCCATTATGGCGCAGTGCGAGCATATGAGTTTCTGCTCTGAGCAGCAGAACCAGTCCAGGTCGGATTCATGTTCCACACAAAGTTCCGATTCACCGGAAAATATACCAGATTCTGAGTCGGAGGTTGTCACCGCTGATGTAGCAGCAACCTTTCCAGACAACCCGGAGACGTCTTTAGCTGAGTGAATTTCATTCTGGAGTACATTCAACGCGGAGAAAATGGGCTGTTGTAAATCCATATTCAAGTTTCCCGAACTTTCTGTAACTTCCACTTCAGTGTCCGGGTCGTCCTGTAAAGAGGACACAGGTGTTAAATTACATGATTCTGGCTCCGCACTCATGACACGTTAAATAGTGAAATGGCTCACAAGAGTAATAGCAATAAAACGTGGCAGGTGGTTTCAGTATCACTATCTACCGCACCTATAACACAGGTGTATCAAGGTATGAACACGGAAGTAACACCGACACTAGAGGTCAGAGCTGAAAAGCAAGTTTAGCAACTGCAGCAACAGGGCCGTTTCAATGATAACGTTTTTTGTTCCGGTGCATTTGTTATAGGCTACCATTGTTTTTACCTCCTTTACCTGTAAGATGACACAGTGTTTCCATATTGTCATTTGACCTCATAACATCTTCAATCATCAATTACCCTCTCTAGTCTAATTATATGCTAAATGTATAATAGTTTAGTATAGGCTAAATAGTCCAACCAAAGTTGGGGCAATATATTTGACTACAGGATTTTAAAATGTAGGCTACATTTAGCCTCTAGGCTATGCTGAAATATAGCCTATAGGCCTACATGCCAATGATGCCAATTTCTTTTGAGACATATGCACATGACTGATGACTGATGATATTTTGTAACGTAAATTGCCTATTGTAAATCCACTTGTGCAAACCCCACAGTAAATGTGTAGGCTAGGTGTATATGCAGTGCATTCGGAAAGTATTCAGACCCCTTCCCGTTTTCCACATTGTTACCTTACAGCCTTATTCTAAAATTGATTAAATCATTTTTTCTCTCATCAACCTACACACAATACCCCATAATGACGAAGACAAAACAGGTTTTTATACATTTTTGCTAATTTATTACAAATAAAAAACAGAAATACCTTATTTACATAAGTATTCAGACCCTTTGCAATGAGACTCGCAATTGAGCTCAGGTGCATCCTTTCCTTTGATCATCCTTGAGATGTTTCTACAACTTGATTGGAGTTCACCTGTGGTAAATTCAATTGATTGGACATGATTTGGAAAGGCACACACCTGTCTATATAAGGTCCTACAGTTGACAGTGCATGTCAGAGCAAAAACTACGCCATGAGGTCGAAGGAATTGTCAGTAGAGTTCTGAGACACGATTGTGTTGAGGCACAGATCTGGGAAAGGGTACCAAAAAATGTCTGCAGCATTGAAGGTCCCAAAGAACACAGTGGCCCCCATCATTCTTAAATGGAAGAAGTTTGGAACCACCAAGACTCTTCCTAGAGCTGGCCGCCCGGCCAAACTGAGCAATCGGGGGAGAAGGGCCTTGGTCAGGGAGGTGACCAAGAACCTGATGGTCACTCTGACAGAGCTCCAGAGTTCCTCTGTGGAGATGGGAGAACCTTCCAGAAGGACAACCATCACTGTAGCACTCCACCAATCAGGCCTTTATGATAGAGTGGTGGTGGCAGCTTCATGCTGTGGGGATGTTTTCAGAGGCAGGGACTGGGAGACTAGTCAGGATTGAGGGAAAGATGAACGGAGCAAAGTACAGAGAGAGATCCTTGATGAAAACCTGCTCCAGAGCGCTCAGGACCTCAGACTGGGGCGAAGGTTCACTTTCCAACAGGACAACGACCCTAAGCACATAGCCAAGACAACGCAGGAGTGGCTTCGGGACAAGTCTCTGAATGTCCTTGAGTGGCCCAGTCAGAGCCCGGACATGAACCCGATCGAACATCTCTAGAGAGACCTGAAAATAGCTGTGCAGTGACACTCCCCATCCAACCTGACAGAGCTTGAGAGGATCTGCAGAGAAGAATGGGAAAAACTCCCCAAATACAGGTGTGCCAAGCTTGTAGCGTCACACCCAAGAAGACTCTAGGCTGTAATCGCTGCCAAAGGTGCTTCAACAAAGTACTGAGTAAAGGGTCTGAATACTTATGTAAATGTTATATTTCCGTTTATTTCATATTTTTTATGTGCAAAAAAAAAAAGCTACTAAAATATTTTAACATGTAGCATAGCCCAAGGGAAAGACTGGCGGTGGTTAGACAAAATAGGATAAAAACAACTTGATAAATAATCAAATCAAAGTTTATTGGTCGTGTACACAGATTTGCAGATCTTATCGCAGGTGCAGCGAAATGCTTGTGTTTCTATCTCCTATCCAACGTATCTCTTCTCTATATCATTTATTCTGGCTCCGAGTGGCGCAGTGGTCTAAGGCACTGCATCGCAGTGCTAGCTGTGCCACTAGAGATCCTGGTTCGAGTCCAGGCTCTGTCGCAGCGGCACACAATTGGTCCAGCGTCATCCAAGGTAGGGGAGGGTTTGACCGGCAGGGATGTGGGTTTGTTTCCCACAGGGGGCCAGTATGAAAAAAAAACAAAAACAAAAAACATGTATGCATTCACTGACTGTAAGTCGCTCTGGATAAGGGCGTCTGCTAAATGACTAAAATGTTAAATTTATACCCTGATGAAGACTGTCGAAACGTTGGTTATTAGGTTATTCAATTATTGCATCTGAGTTCCTAGAGTGTGCAGCTCTCCTTTTCTTTTTCATGTGTTTCTATCTCCAACAGTGCAGTAATACCTAGCAATATAAAAATATAAACAATACTATCATTATCCAGAACAATTTATTCATAAATATCAGAACGAGCAATGTCAGACACCAGAATATATATATATATATATATATATATATATATATATACACACACACATATATACACATACAATGTATATAAATACATACAGTACCAGTCAATAGTTTGGACACACCTACTCATTCAAGGGTATTTCTTTATTTTTACTATTTTCTACATTGTAGAATAATAGTGAAGACATCAAAACTATGAAATAACACATATGGAATCATGTAGGAACCATTTTTTTTTTTAAACAAATCAAAATATATTTTATATTTGAGATTATTCAAAGTAGCCACCCTTTGCCTTGATGACAGCTTTGCACACTCTTGGCATTCTCTCAACCAGCTTCATGAGGTAGTCACCTGGAATGCATTTCAATTAACAGGTGTACCTTGTTAAAAGTTCATTTGTAGAATGTATTTCCTTCTTAATGCGTTTGAGCCAATCAGTTATGTTGTGACAAGGTAGGGGGGGGGGGGGGGGGGGGGGTATACAGAAGATAGCCCTATTTGGTAAAAGACCAAGTCCATATTATGGCAAGAACAGCTCAAATAAGCAAAGGGAAACGACAGTCCATCATTACTTTAAGACATGAAGGTCAGTCAATACGGAAGATTTCAAGAACTTTGAAAGATTCTTCAAGTGCAGTCACAAAAACCCAGGGGTGGAAAAAGTACTAAATTGTCATCCTTGAATAAAAGTAAAGATACCTTAATAGAAAAGGACTCAAGTAAAAGTGAAAGTCACCCAGTAAAATACTACTTGAGTAAAAGTCTAAAAGTATTTGGTTTTAAATATACTTAAGTATCAAAAGTAAATGGAATTGCTCAAATGCACTTAAGTATCAAAAGTAAAAGTAAAACTATAAATCATTTCAACTTCCTTATATTAAGCAAACCAGATGGCACATTTTTAAAAAAAAATTTTTTATTGACAGATAGCCAGGGGCACACTCCAACAATTAAGACATAATTTACAAACTAAGCATTTTTGTTTAGTGAGTCCGCCAGATCAGAGGCAGTAGGGACGACCAGGGATGTTCTCTTGATAAGTGTGTGAATTTGACCATTTTCCTGTCAAAATGTAATGAGTACTTTTGGGTGTCAAGGAAAATGTATGGAGTAAAAAGTACATTAATTTCTTTAGGAGTGTAGTGAAGTAAAAGTAAAAGTAGCCAAAAATATAAATAGTTAAATAAAGTAAAGATCCCCCAAAAAACTACTTAAATAGTACTTTAAAGTATTTTTACTAAAGTACTTTACACCACTGCAAAAACCATCAAGCACTAGGATGAAACTGGCTCTCATGAGGACCGCCACAGGAAAGGAAGACCAAGAGTTACCTCTGCTGCAGAGGATAAGTTATTTCGAGTTAACTGCACCTCAGATTGCAGCCCAAATAAATGCTTCACAGAGTTCAAGTAACAGACACATCTCAACATCAACTGTTCAGAGGAGACAGCGTGAATCAGGCCTTCATGGTCGAAATGCTGCAAAAAAAAAACACTACTAAAAGACACCAATAAGAAGAAGAGACTTGCTTGGGCCAAGAAACACGAGCAATGGACATTAGACCGGTGGAATCTGTCCTTTGGTCTGATGAGTCCAAAACCACTGTGTCTTTGTGAGATGCCGAGTAGGTGAACGGATGATCTACGCATGTGTGGTTTCCACCGTGAAGCATGGAGGAGGAGGTGTGATGGTGTGGGGGTGCTTTGCTGGTGACACTGTCTGTGATTTATTTAGAATTCAAGGCACACTTAACCAGCATGGCTACCACAGCATTCTGCAGTGATACGCCATCCCATCTGGTTTGCGCTTAGTGGGACTATGATTTGTTTTTCAACAGGACAATGACCCAAAAGACACCTCCAGGCTGTGTAAGGGCTATTTGACCAAGGAGAGTGATGGAGTGCTGCATCAGATGACCTGGCATCCACAATCACCCGATCTCAACCCAGTTGAGATGGTTTGGTATGAGTTGGACCGCACAGTGAAGGAAAAGCAGCCAACAAGTGCTCAGCATATGTGGGAACTCCTTCAAGACTGTTGGAAAAGCATTCCTCATGAAGCTGGTTGAGAGAATGGCAAGAGTGTGCAAAGCTGTCGTCAAGGCAAAGGGTGGCTACTTTGAAGAATCTGAAATCTAAAATATATTTTGATTTGTTTAACACTTTTTTGTTTACTACTTGATTCTATATGTGTTATTTCATAGTTTTGATGTCTTCACTATTATTCTACAATGTAGAAAATAGTAAAAATAAAGAAAAATCCTTGAATGAGTAGGTGTGTCTAAACGTTTGACTGGTACTATATAGGCTACATATAATGGTACAGTATGTAAAAACAGTATGGACAGTATAGGAATATAAAAGGTGTGTACAGCAGAAGTTATATAGGACGAGCCATGACTAGAATACAGTATATACATGTAAAGTGGGTAAAACAGTTAAATATTATTAAAGTGACCAGTGTTCAATGACTAGAATACAGCACATCATTTATAAAGCATCACACACAGAATAGGAAGCATGGACAGTTTGTTTGATAAAGCAAAAAGCTGCCCTACCAACACTGACTATGATTAATATATCGATTAAATAACGTATTTTAATGTAGGCCAATTTGTTTTTCATTTTGAAGAAGAAAACATAATATGCAGCCTAATAGACTATTTCTCCCAGACAGGCAGTTGAGGGACAAT